CATCACTATCGCTCTGAAAGGCAGAGTTTACAATGCAGCCGTGCGTTCAACCCTCCTTTGCGGTTGTGAAACCTAGTCTTTCAATGCGATACACATTAAAAGCTTAGTTGCGTTCGACTGCCGAAGCCTTCGCAGTTTGGTTTATATTTGATGGAAACTCCTAGTGAACGATGAATGTGTTCGGCGCCTTGTAATTGGGGAAGGAAGAACGAATGAACCGCTCAGCACCTTTAATCCAAGCACCAGGCTCGTGTGATTGGCCTATGTGGTATGCATGCGCGTTCAGGTTCAAGGTGGAAGAAGCGAAAAAGAAGCGAACCTTTTCACGTCAAATGAAGGCTTTTAACTTGAATTTGGTCTCTATTAGTGCCTCTCGACCACCGGTTTGGCATCTCGAAGGCGGTGATAGTGTTTACTTAGATACGTTTGTTTACATAGGCAGGGGCCGATGTTAGTGGCGTTTGTTTTGTTGACACCCTTATCCCTCTATACTCTGCTTAACCTCCCCTCAAACCACTATCTCAGTATCAATGCACATTAGAAAAACAAAGCATATTATTGTTGGTCTATTTTGTCCCTCCGTTTTACGGCTATGTTGATGCGTTATGTTGCCGTACAATAGCCGAATTGTTCCTCACTCCTAGCTAACGTGCGTGATGATTATGCAGGTTTTTATATGCGCCTGTGATATTGAACGCCGATAATGCTGTACAGAGGCAACCGTTTCCCGGAAGTAAAATAATCCGGTCGGGATTCAGCCCCGTGACTGCGAACGATCCCCATTTCATCTCGACCCACGGTTGCAACTACGCGCGTGTACCCAACAACGAAAGAATAAGTGAGTTCCTCGTGCTAGGCGTGGACATCGAACAAACAATACTAGTATCTTGGTGTATTCATCCCAGTAGATAACAAGCAACATAGCTGAACCCCATCTGGAAATGCACCAGACGCGCGTTTTACCCTATTGGGGCTCGTCAGTGGTGAGCATCCTTCGGTCCTAGTTTCAAATGTTATGGACATGGCATCTAGTGAGTGGAAGTTATGACCTCGGAGGCTAGCCACTGTCATTTGCACTGGTAGGAACCTGCGTGGCAGTGGAAGATAGGTCATGCTAAATCCCAGTTAACTAGCAACTAATGTAGCTCAACTACAGTCCCCAATGGTTCAGTGGCTTAAGCTGCTAGCTATTTGGCGTCAGCCTGTAGCGGTCTTAGGTTCGATCCCCAGTACGGGACCGAAGGAGGCGCACAACTGACGAGTCCTAATAGGGCGAAATGCGCGTCTAGTGTTTTTTCGGGTGGGCATTGCGGTATAGATTGTGAGCTGCTGTGACGAATACATTAAAATTACAACTCAAATCCTCCTGCTCGTGAGTAATACCAGAATCTGCTGGTTTCCGCTTGACAACAAACTGCCTGGCACTGCACTATCCGCGTATTGAACTTGAGCTAACTACGCTGTCCACGTCATAAATCCCGTTCGCATTCAGTTTTGTATTGCCTATCGATGATGCGCCTACTTACTTCAGAGTGGTCAACCGAGGCCAGCATAACAGGACATGGATGAATTTTGAACTGGAACGCGTGTCATCGATGCTACATGAATATGGGTACCCTGCGAGGTTCATAGTTCGTTATGCAAACAAGAAAATAGTATGACGCGTTTGATGGGTGTCCTCAATAAATAAGTGTTCCTCGCCTTACCAAAATGATCAAGATTCGAGCACTGCCCTTGCTAGACAGTAAGAGATTACTAGTACGCGGCCAAGTTGGTGTTGCTGCACCAAGTTAGAAAGTTGCTCTGTAAATCCAACCTGGACAAGCCACATCCTCGTCTTACCATTTCCTGTGTTTATCTCCTCCACTGTGTACTTCTGGTACTAAGTACATTGGCCAAACTGACATGAGGCTGTCCACTAGGATATCAGATCACATTCCACGAAATTTGGTCGATAACCGTCCGAAACTGTCGGCTAGCTTTACTACGCAGTACATCTTGGATAACTATAAGCCGAAGTCCTCGTCATTCGTTCGCAACAATTACCAGACAGAGCAATACCCGTTTACCTCAATTTATCGAATCTTCAGCTGAATTCGACGACTGAAGCCCAATTTGTGTAGGCAGACTGAACTTACGGCCAGCCTCGCCGTAGGTTGTTGAGGTTATTGCTCGTTTTTCTTTGGACACCACGCGATAATTTCACGGAATACATGTAAACAGCTGACAGGAATACTTGAAGTACATTAACTCATTGTATCCTGTCAAACTGCTTTTTCTTTTGACTATTTTGAAATTTGTGAAAGGAAAATCATGCATGAACTTAGGCTTGCTAGATGTGACAATGAAACAGATCGCGTGAAAACTTGTCCTCTTTCCTTCGGTCTGATGCAGTTACGAAGCCCATAGAACTCTTGACCATAGTCATACGTTCGTCTTTTTTTCGACGGCTGCATACTTCTAACCTCTTTTCCGTTTTTTTTACACCCACTGCTTTCTACCCATCTCCATTCTTTTAACAGCCTGAGCGACTCCTAGTTGATCATTTCAACGTATCAAACTACTTGTTGTGTCGTTTTTTCGTGTTTCGGGACCATAGCACACATCTTCGTGTTAATGGCCACTGAATTTCCGCAATCGACTGGCCCATCTGATTGCGAATGTCAGTGTTGTGAGCTCCCAACTAGACTGGAATATTGGATTAAAAAGCTTCCAATTTCACTGTTATTGCGAGCCACAGACAGAAGTGGTTCCTTATCCCTTCTGATAGACGGCTAGGGAATCACGAAAGAATATGGAGAAGCACTAACAATTGTCTATGATTTGGAAGTCTTCTGTCCCACGCGTTCCTTGAATGGTGTGCTTGTTCGCTGATTCATTCATCACACGTATCATCCATGATTCAGTTGACATGAATTCGAGGTAGTGGGGATATGGCTCTGATTCACACGGGGATTGTCTGTGTTTGACCCACACACCACGCCTGCGCCCTCTTCGATCTGTTACTGAAACCTGCGATTACAGCTCGCTTTAGTCGCCTTCTCTCGTATTTGCCGATTTATGTTATTTTATAATTTGATCCGAACGTTTATCCATCAGTGAATAGTAACGCTTTCCTCTGCTGCTAGTCCGGATCGTGTACGGCGATTGAATATCACCCGTAGCCCGCGATTGTGTTTCCGGGGGCAGTGTGGAACCGTGGCTCATCCCGATCTTTGAGGACAGGTGTATTAAGGTTATCGGACCGTAGAACTCCGGAAATCCTCGATCAGCGTAGCTCCTTAGATCACACGTCTTGGCCCCCCGAAGTTTGTCAGTATCGTGTCCCGTTGCGACGATAGACCCGAGGCGTCTGTCGATTCACATGAGTTGATGGTAGACTAGTTAGTACTACCAACAGCTGTCCACTTTCCAGGTCGCGTTTTATATATCATGTTAAATCCTTTTTATACTCTGCATGCGATTCCCATTGCAAGGTCTTACGAAGCAGTGAACGTCACCGTCCTGCCTTGTGCCAAACGACGGGTATCCCTGACTACCTGTCATCACTTTTATCTAATTCGGGTCGGACTTTTCTCACATTTCAGATTAGCCACTTGTAGCGTGTGCCTGTGCATGCCGTAATTCACTATCTTCTGCACTCCGGATCCTGTTCTCTTCCTTCGGTTTCGCACTTTGCCTTCAGAATTGGTATTGATCAGCTAAATGTTTAATGAGTTGCGTTCTTATCTCACAGTGGGTTTTTTACCCTACTGATTGATGTACCTGTTACCTCCAGCTAATGAGCTCTGTCTCGTTTATATTCCACATTGTGTAAAGCGCTTGATATTCACTTTTACAAAATCTTACTGCTTCCCCTTATAACTAAAGAGGTAGTCTTTTATTTAGAGACACCTTTTGTACACTTAACATACACGCAAAATGAACTTGCAACACTTATTAGTCTAGGAAATGAGCTTTCATAGTACATGTATAAGAGAATCCGGCATGCATGCCCTGGCAGCACGATCTCTGCCAGCATATAGCTGTTCTCACTACACACAAGTTAAATTTGTATTGTGCTAACGGACAGTGTTATTTCGGACCGTTGCCCGAGCTGTCTGTTACTGACAACCGTTTCTAAAGGAACAGTGGACTACTCTCTCTCTCTCTCTTACGCGTGTGTTAGAATTGAGTAGCAATTACACAGCATCACCAATTGTCGCTTTGATGTGGTGGGTGGTTGGGCGAGTTTCTAGTCAATATGTATGTTCATTCGTCCGTTTCTTGCTCTGTGCACGTTGGACACTACTCAAGAGGGAAAAGGGCATGTGTTCAGATAGTCAACTGCTGAACTTTCCATTTTCGGCTCCAAAACCGGTACAGTGAACTTCTGGTAAAATATGTAAAACCCAGACCTATGTCAGGATACTAGGTTATTATTTTTGTAAAACAGTGTTGCAAAGAGATCTCTTTTCGCTAATTCACACCAGGCAAAAACAGCAACCGTAAACTGGTGAAGGCAAAGCCATCGCGATTAAGCCAACACAGTCAGAGCTATACAAGCATAGGGTGTTTGTGCAACCCTTGACTTTGCCATGGCCCTGATGAGAAGTCGTGCCCCCTGAGTATTACGCATAACCGGGTGCTATTTATGTAGTTATCTGATTACATTTTGTTAGTTTTTTAACCTCTTTAGTTTACACAAGTTGTTTCGCTGTCTGTTAGCCTTGTCACGACCTCATCTGATTAAATCGATTTGAGCATCGAACGAACGTCCTCATTTTTTTTCTTCACCAGTTTACTGTTGCATTTATCAGTCCTGTAGCTGTATTTGCCTGATGTGAATTACCAAAAAGAGATCTCTTTGCAACCCTGTGTTTTGCGTTTCCATGAGCATTATCTACGAGTATTACTTTTCGTTTGCTAACTTTCTTTAAATTTTTCTCATATTGCTTTACACAGATAAGGCCTATTATGTCATCCTGTCACCGCATCTGTTTCCGCTTTTCCATCCTCAGATCCGGCTTTGTCAGGTGCATTCCGCTGGATCCAGTTCGGGCTTACACTCCGTTTACCAGATGCTCGTTCTCTTTGTGACTTCGATTACTTCAGATTTGCTCAGTATTCCTGGATTGCCTCTAGGTGCCTGTCACGGAGGCACTATTACAAAGGCGGAAGAGACGGATATGCCTCCAGATCACCCTTTTCTAAACCTCCACTGCAGCGCCCCGATTTTCACCGATGCCTACATATGCGGGGTGACGCTGGTGTACGGTTTCCCTCCGTCTCACGGTAAGAGATATGAGTCACCATCTACTCTTTTACCATTGATATGTTAAAAATTCAGTTTTTGCGTTCACGTGCTCAATTGCTGGTCATGTGTCATCGCCAATTTGGACCCTTCATTCACCCGATTCTATTGTATGATTGTTTTTCCCCTTTCAGGGCTCGTTTTGTTTCAACGGGACATCTTTAAACCAGTTGGCCCACCGCCGGTTGCTCTCTTATACTGCTTAACCAGTTGGCTACACTCGGCCAGGACTAGCACAAAATCTCACCACTCTTCTTCCGGTCATCCTGCGCAGTGGACCAGCGTGGACTGGATATTTTTACTCCGCAGGTGCAGGAACAGTTTTTACAACTTTCAATCCATCGAGCAAAATCTTTCTTTGCTCCCAGCCATGCCCATTTCCATAGCGTTATGGACTATTTTTGGTCCACTGGAGCTCATTGGCGCGTAAGTAAGCGGCTTTGATTTGAAACTCCGTGCTACTCTTTTCAGTTGCTGTTACTCTAATGCGTACGGTAATACATCATGATTAAGCCGTGGTTCTACTTAATATGCTTATAAACAAAGTAATACGATGGACCCCTTGTGAGTGGCTTGCAAGAGCGGCCGACAGTGCTTCTGTTGCGGGCCGGGGTTTCGGGCGCGTTTTTGCGGGAATATTTGACGGGCCCGCAACAGCTTCTACTGATGTAGTTCAATAGACATAAAGCGTATGACTTCGGCGAACTTGGCACGGCAAAACAAGACATCCTTGAAAGTATTGCAATTGCCAGTTCACAGTGACCTGTTTGGTGAAACATCGGTGCGATTGACCATGCAAGTGTAAAGAACATTGAGCTACTCATATATTGTCAGTAGACAAATGTTCTCTCGAATTTGGAGCCCTATCTCGTACGCGCATGTGGTGTAGCCCATCCATTTCTCCGTATTCATCCACTGGTGCTCGGCTTCACTATAGCATTACACCTACCTTATCACTTGTTATACACCTCTCGTTGTTTCGTTCCCATGTCGGAATCTATCCTTGTGGCTCCCGATTAAGGATCTTTTTGACCTACTTCGACACCTCGTACGGGTGCTGCCCATCGCTTGTGATTGCGAATGGACATTACACGGTTTATTGTGTGTGACTCTCTGAATGTTAGCCTAGCCGCTCTAATTGCAGTCTCATTAGCAATTAACTCATCCATGTCGCTAAGTCCGTTAGATAAATATATAAAGTATATTCCTCTACTCTGCTGGACGTTGATCCCGCTAATGATCAGATCGATATTTACAAAAACTTCACACATACCTGATTAATTATGAGATAAAGGTCATGTTCCTCATGATTCCGAGAACCGAACGAGGAAGAAGACAGACCATCTATGTTTACTCATAGTAGATGTCGTAACAATATGTGTAGCATTTTATGAATGTCAAACATTAAGCCGGGATGCATTTTGAAGAGATTCCTTTTAAGCTTCTCTTGTGCAAACTGGATAATGCATCTGTTTCGATATTCATCTGATGTTAAAGCCGATACCATGGATTCACCTCAGTCTATTACTGGATTCCATATTTGTAGTGGATGGGTATAAAAGAATGGTAGCATCAGAAGAGATTGTAAACTGGTTTCAGGAAGGTTGTTAGTATAGGGATTCAGGTCACGGTTATTACGATTTTCGCTGAACATCATTGTTACCTTACTTACTGCGCATATATATATATATATATTACAAGATTTGCTTGTCAAGATCTTTGCTCAAACTAATTTCCAAGCTCATTGAGGCTATCCAGATCTATCCGCATGTCTAATGCAAAGCATAGAATAATAATAATGCGCATGATCCTCGATATATTGATTTTGACACGCAGATTACGTCATTTGAAGCCAGCTATGGAGAAATGCTTTTGTAAAACTTTTCTCTATTTTATTGTGGTCATGAATAGGGAATTTCGATACAAATAATTGAGGTTTCTTCGCAGTTATTCCTAAATCAGATAGTCTTCCACATGCTCGGAAAAGCACCAGACTGCAGTTTCAGCCCGTTGGGCATCATCAGTAGTGAGCCTCCATCGGATCCATCAGAATTCGAACCCATGACCACCAGCGGCTTGCACCGCTAATCAGTAGTTTATGCCACTGGGCCACGGGGGACAGCTTCGGACTGTCATGATTTGCAAGCTATCTGAGATATGGCGCGTCTTATCCTGATGGATCCGATGGATGCGCACTATTGATGATGCCCAACTGGCTGAAACTGCAGTCTAATGCTTTTCCGGGCATGTGGACGACTATCTGATTTGGAAGCTGGCTGTGATGAATCTCAGTTATCAATATCAAAATCCCCTACTCATGAGTACATCAAAATATCTCCGCCCTAACAGTTTCTAAATGCTGTGTCGTACGTAGCTACTGTTAGTGGACGTCGTGTCTTTCGGGGCCAACCCTGTCCTCTGCAACGTTCGTAACTTGCATGGAAGTGGAGGATAAGACGCGCTATATCACAGTTAGCTTGTAAATCATGACAGTCCGAAGCTGTCCCCTTGGCCCAGTGGCGTAAGCTGCTGACTGGCGGTGCAAGCCGCTGGTAGTCAGGGTTTCGAGTCCTGTTGGATCCAATGGATGCGCACTACTGATTATACCTAACAAGCTGAAACTGCAGTCTTCTTTATTTATCATGAGCAAATCCCGGAGATTCTGTTCGGCATTGTGCGATCGTTGCTTTGGGATAGGTAGCCATTTTGTCGGGTGACTACAGTGCATCTCTTTATATTGTCTATCCATTTGTGAAGTTGGACGAGACCGCGATGTCGCCAGTTCATGACGTGACATAGATGCATAAACAAATTGCCTAAGAGACTTGATCAAGCTGGTGCATGCGCTCTTCCTGGATGAAGGTCTCAGGATGCTGCACATCAATGATTGGAAACTCTTTCAAACGCGGAGTAGTCGCGCAGTCAGTGGCGTTCCTGCGTTCGGTTTCGTGCATCCAATTGTTAATTCGCCTTCCATCCTGTTTGGTTTATTTTCCTTTCTTTTTGCCTCCATTTTCTTTACGTTCTAGTTGCACTCGAACTCATTTTCTTGCAGTTGTTATTTATTGTTATGCTGGTGAGGTGAGTCGTGCCAAATGGATCCACCGCACTCTAATGCTCAGATCATAGTTGTTCAACTCAACTCAATTGGACTGAGGATCCTGCTCATCTACTACAGGAGCCTTCACGCGGCTAAACGGTGTAGTGATGTGCATACCACTTTGATAAATATATGCATAGACGAATTTTCTGGCTAACTAACCACTTTAGGATTATGACCCACAGTGACGCAGAGCAATTTGTATAGAGAGATGAGCAATATGCTTGTGAGTATTAACTATTGCAACTTTTTATTTGATTTTGCCTGTTCTATCCTCACTCCCTCAACCATCTTTTTTATGCAATTATTCTATCGCTTTATCCATGTGTATTTTATTTAGTCCACTTATGTCATCACCATCAGTGCACGTTACCTGAAGGTGAGAAACACCTCAGCTAATGTGCCGCAATACAAAAAGATAACAGGCTAAAAAGTTACACAAATTACACTACAAAAATTACGCTGTTAAATATTATTATCATTATTATTGTATTATCGCGCCGAGACTGGATCTTAACGTGGCGCGATGGTTTGTGTGCCACAATGATCCACTGAGCCATGCTAGGTGGTGTTTCCTTGCACTTTCAGAACCACTCATACGAGATTGGTCAATGGTTAGTGTAACGAATCACACCACATCCCTCTTGTAACGGAAGGTCACCGTCGGAAATGTTGTTTAACCGTCCAATTGTACTTGCGTTCACTACACGGACTACGAGGAGAGTTTGAAGCACCCTGCTATTCTTCCCAGTAGGCACCCAGTTGTCGAGGCGCTGGTGCGTCATTTCCACGTCTCAGAAGGCCACGGTGGAGTGCATCACGTGCTAAGTGCGATCCGCACCAAGTACTGGATACTGCATGGGGCTAAAACAGTGAAGCGAGTTGTCGGAAGCTACATCCGCTGCTGGAAGCGCACCGCCACTCCGTGCCAGCAACAGATGGCACCATTACCCCGTGCCAGGGCGGAAATTGGTTGGTTTCCTTTCAAGAATGTGGGTGTGGATTACTTTGGCCCTATTTCTGTAAAGCTTGGAAGGACTGTGGAAAAGCGTTTTGGGTGCATATCCAATTGCCTGCAAACCAGGGCAGTGCACTTGGAAGCAGCCCACGTCTTCTCGACTGATGCATTCATTACGGCGTTCATCCTTTTCGTCGGCAGACGGGGCTGCCCATCAGAAGTATATAGTGACAACGGAACGAATTTCGTCGAGGCGGTTAGGGAATTACGTGATGGTGTTAAAAAATGGGATCAAAAACGAATTGACGGAGAGCTATGCCTTCGTGGTGTGCAATGGCATTTCAGTCCACCATTTGCAAGTGAACGGGGGAGGGGGTGCGACACATGCTCCGGGCTGAACGTGTCATTTCCGGCGAAGAGTAAGGTTGGAGATCCAAGGTCGTCGGTAGCCGCACACGCACGGAACCAGTGCCGGGGATTAGCATGAATACACAGACATACCTACAACGCTAACAATGGGAATGTAAGGAGGCGCACGTGAACGCTGGTCGATATCCATCAACGATCGGCCAAGGTCTGTAGACTAGACCACGAAGCGAAGAGTAGAAGAATTTCATGGGTAGATAAGCGCGTTACACTGCCTCCGAAATTCTGCTGCGATTGACTCCTCCTACGTCCCCGACTCCACTCTGGCTCTCGGTCCTACAACTGCCTACAGTAGCGCTCCTTAGAAAAACAGAAGGGAAAGCAACGCAACCACACGAGAGCGTCTTGGCAGGAGCCGTTTTCCATGACTCCCACCAAGCGCCGTTCGTGGGCGTCTTTGGGCATCGAAGCGCTTGGGTGAAAGCCGTTTTCCATGACTACCACCCTGCACTCCAAGCCAGATTTAAGCGCTGCTACTCATCGCCCTCCAGGCGGCACACCTTTCTGACATCTCTTTAATATACTTGAGTTCGTTCTAATGTACACCGTCCTTACTAAACCGTCATTGGTGGCTTCACCTCTCACGACTCGACCCAGCGGCCAACAACCCCTCGGTAGTTTCTCGAAAGCCACCAACACTAATTCGTCCTTTTCTACAGACTTGGTCGGAAGCTGCCACTTCTGTCGAGATTGTAATGTTGTTATGTATTCTTTTAACCATCTCTTCCAGAAGCCCGTGACTACGTGGGCTACTTGCTTCCAGCGCTTAGTATACCTGTATCTGAACCGTTGTCGAGAAGTGCATAGGTTTCTATCGACCCGAACGGACCGAACACAGTCACCGGAATCACCCCCAGAGCGACACAACGCGAGCCCGCGTCTGTGACTCCGCAGCGAGCCTGATCTGTGGATACTGCGTGAGTTAACTCGGGGACTTCGCCACCATGGAGCAGGTTGTGATGACGAGATTGGCAACCAGCGGCATTGCAGGCTCGGCGAATGCCACAGTTTTTTGGCGATATGGCCCGGTCTTAAGCAACCGAAACAGAGGTTCTTGGTTTTTAACATTTCCCATTTTTGCGATATGTCCAGTTCTCTAAATATTCCACACTCCACGGCCAAGTGGTTGTCTGAACAAACGGGGCAGGAGTGGGTGGGGCGGGCAGGCGACGTAGTTCTCTGACCAGCATAATGGCTACTTATCGCCGGACACTCTCTCCTTGGAGGAGCTCTCGTAGCAGTCGTTTCGACACCACGGGGTGATCGATCGGCTAACTGTCCGAACCGGCTGCGAGCTATGTGTGCCCGCGATGAAACAAATGTGGTTAAATTCAGAAAACTGGGCTCATGAACACTGAGCGTTAGCTGCTCGACGATTTCGGCCCATTTGTACTGCAGGGGCTTCGGTAGGGCACGGACTATTTCTAGGGTGGTGGAGGAGTCTACATCTGCCTCATAGTTCATTTGTTTCAATGTGATGTGGCAGTTCTCCATCTTAATGGCCAATTCCGACAGGGCATCTGCGTTGTTGGGAATGGACCTCGCGCCTTGAAGTAGGCCTTCTATCGATGTCCTAGCAATGTAGTGTGCTTGCCCGAAGAGGTCTCGAAGGATACGTCGAGCTCTTTCATAACCCTGACCAGGCGGCAGCATTACGCAGTTGACAATAGCCAGGCTAGCTCATCCCTTACAGTAATGAATGAGGTAGAGCAGACGTCTTCCGTCATCTACCACCTTGCTCTCCACATAGAACTCAAACTGCTTGACGAACCTCCAGTAGTCAGCTGGGTGCCCATCGAAATAAGCCCGTTCTACTTTGGGGAGACCAGCTTCCGCAATAAGTGGGACGACAGCGGACGCTATAGCGTTTCCCAACGTGGCAGTGGGGGAGTCAATCGGCAAATCGTCATAACAATTGGCGGATGGTTGATTCGCAGCCACCGCAGCATATTCCGTGACAAACTCGTCAACTCTGTTTGACGAATAAATAGGGAGTGCGGGCAGGTCTACATCGCCTTGTTCGTCTTCCAGCAAGGCGCTACGCTGGGCGAATTCGACCTCCTGTCTAGCCTTCAACAGTCTACGCTGTTTGCTAAGTTCCTAGTTTCTAGTTCTAGCTCCTCCTTGAGCTGGTTTTCTTTCAACTCAGCAAGCAGGAGCTGTGAACGCGTACTGCTAACTGAATTTCTAGAGCTAACCCGGGAGCCAGAGTGAGAGACAGTATTTAATTGGTTCTCGCTTCGACGGATTGCTTAATTGGATCCCTCGGTTTGGTGGTACTCGTATCCGGAAGTGCCAAGACAAACAGCTCAACAAGCTACACTCGCACCTACCTTCGACACACTGGATATTAATGTGTGCTGTGTCCAAAACTAGAATCAATGACCCTAACGGAGTTATTGATTTAACTGCGTCGGCATATCCTCTCGCATCCGGAGACGCCGATGCAGCACTCACGGGTCAAGCTGGTGTAGGTATCATTCTAAGCTCCAAAGCTGAGCCATCGTTGGTTGATTGGATTCCAGTGAACAGCCGTTTATATGCAGCCTATTTGACGACGCCAGCTAAGGTGAATTCACGAAGCAATACGAAACGTTGTTTGTTTGTGATTTCTTTTTGTGCTCCCACGGACTGCAGTTCTAATGCTGTCAAGGACACTTTCTATCACGAACTGAACGCCCTACTACACGGTGCCACTAGTTCAGATGTTGTAGTACTTGCAGGGGATATTAACGCGCAAGTAGGGCGTCTGAGCTCTTCAGAAGCTCAGCTGGGTGGCAAGTATGGACTTAACTCCGAACCGACTGACAACAGTGAGCGTCTGCTGCAACTGTTTGCGGAGCACCAGTTGTTTCTTACTAGCGCTGCTTTTAGACACAGTGGTCGCCGAAATGCTACTTAGCGTCCTCCTATGGCTGGCCAGCGATGGACCTAAATTGACCACATAGCCATAAGTTATAGGTGGCGTGGTTCCATCCTGGATTGCCGCTCGTACTGGAGTACCTGTGTCGACTTTGATCATGCCTTGGTACGCTGTCGTTTCTCGATGAACTTTACCGGGAGGCGCACCAAGCGTCTCCTCCAATTGGCAACTGATGAATTATCTCAGCTCGGGGTCAGGCAAACTTATTAAGACGCACTGCGTACCAAACTTTTGGTGTCTTGTCCTAATGACACTGAGCTTCAGTGGAATAGGATCTCAGCCGCCATGCACGACGCAGAAGCATCTGTTTGTGGCACTATCCACCGTCACCGCACCAATCGCTGATATCCGAGAGATCGGTGCAGTGAATCTGCTTCTATCACGCCGTCTCCACACCTTACTGGTGCTTTGAGCGGCCACGCGTATCTTTCCAATCTGAGTAGCAATCTCCTTAATGCTTCTACCATTATAGGCAATACAGCTGCCCGACTGACTGAAGAAACCGACTACCTTTTTGCTGTTGAAGCGAATTCTTCATACTAGTGGTGTAGTCGGCCAACTCCTGTAAAAATGCCTCGCATGCGCTCCAAACTTAAGGTTAGATGTGCCTTTGTTGTACTCCAGGTTTGACATAACGTATGCTTCACTAGAGGCGAAAGGAGGCAGGAGAGTCCTCCGTAATCACCGATTCGAACGTGGTATGGGTGAATTCTTATCCTCTTCTGTCTGGTTACCGAACTCGAGGAATGCTTCCTCACAGGACCGTGAACCATGGAATTGAGATTTTATAACACAACTTTATCCGGCACTGCCTTGGAAATATGAACGTCGCAACATACAAGTGCGACCGGTAGAAACAAAGGCAGTCTGTAAGGCTTCTGTAAAGAGCGGTTCTCAAGTTTCAGCGTAGAAGCGTTTGGCAGGTTACAAAAGGGCGTCCAATACACTGAAGCGAAAGGCGGGACAAGAACTGATGAACTATCACCGCATGGTGCATGCGAGTAGTTTGGAGACAACTAATGCAAGACTCCTACCACGGTGATTTTCCCTTCGAATAGCTGCGATATAAACTGAACTCACTGGCGAAATGCAAGCTCAGGATCAACAGGTCTGCGAAGTTTTTCCTCAACGGGTACGCCGGAGTTTGGAACAAGCTACCACTCGGAATACGTGCCTGCACTCTTGAACACGAATTGCGCAAAGGCGTCGACAAGTGCTTGACTGTACAGAATGTGAACAAATTGTTTGATCTCTAATTACAAGCCAAGCGTACCATAAGGGTCCAGGTTTTATATGACCCAATACATGTTTCGCCACCATACTGTCCCATGATATATCTGTTTTACGGTGTGGTATGTGAGAGAGTGGTTCGAGGTCAACCAACATAATTTCGTTTCCGTCAACTATTTATTATGCTTATGTTCTCTTTCTAACTGTCGTTATCTGATCTCATTTTTAATTTTTCTGATCCACCTGTGACCAGCGTTCTGTACAAGTATGCAATTGCCGGGCCATACCGTTACAGGCGTGTCTCGCATCCTCGAGAATAATAGTTTATTTATTTACTTAGCGTTCCATTGTAGCGGATCTTATTGTTGCCTAAAGCAGGTTGGATTACGGACACTCTATCAGGAAGCAATCGCTACATTTCCTTACTATAACGTTTGACCTGTGCTTGACACACTGCAGCATTTTGGCTCTGTAAGATCCTAGCTTAAACGGCTCGATGAATCGATTTGTTACGTAAGTCGTTTCACTGCGCGAACTCCGTCTTGAATGGCACTTAGCCAATCCCCCCTACTCTTGCCTCATCCGTAAAGTAATCACTATTAGCAATGCATTGTATGTTTTCCTGTCCCCCATTTAATCTTTTTTCTTCTCTGGCTGTTTCAGTCAAGCTGGTCAGAATGAAACCTGTACAAGAGAGAACAAGCTTTTACTCTATCAACTCGCCGAGCTGCATTGTGAGTTGCTTCAGGTGAGTCTGGTTTTACCAAAACGCATCGGAGGCGATAACACTTCTGCTAATGACTGGCAACTGGAGAGGAATCATCTTCATTAACGAAGGGAAAAGTCACTAGAATACACCGCTGCTCCCATGTCGGGTGCATTTCGCTAGCGACAGAACGACTTCCGACCGTGGCCATAATTCTGTTACACTTTGGAATCAGTGTTCTTGTCGTACTTTCTGGGGAAATAAGACGAAACAAAGACTGCGTACATAAGTCGCAAGCCTGCTCCATTTTTCTGGCCACTAACCTTCTCGGGATTATGCCTGTGGAGGTTTACTTACCTCCACAATCGACTGTATCGTGGTTACTTGCAATTTCCAACCATACTGATCTAACATCACGTTTTGATACACTCATTTTCATCATCCTCCGGTTTGAATGTTATGGCTGATTCGATGTCTATCGTCCTCCACAATTATGAGGCGCTACTTTCTGAGCTATTAGCTTAGCTTAATCGGCGTAACTCATTGTGAGTGCGTGCCGTTTATGACTACTGGAACGAGTGTACTGTATTGTACACTATTTTTCCACCTCAAGCGGCCTCTTAAATGCACTCTTCTAACTTACCCGGGTCAGTCGTTTTTGCATGCCTAGTTTAGCTGGCTCAGTGAAAAATGCATCCATACTTCAACGATTTGTATCGCTGTTTTAATACTGTATAGTCACAAATTGAGGTTGAATTTACCGTACGGTAGGCTTGAACATATGGGTGCATTGTAGACTTTCTACTTTTCAGGGCAAGAGTGATATCGCACCAATGCCACAAGTGGCGAATTGGAAAAATATGCCTGTAACCTTTTGATGTAATGTTTATGATCTTATTTTCTATTTTACAGGCGCTTAAATATTTGATTTCCCGGAAAACCTCTAGTTAATCCCCGCCATGGGTTAGCCCAAGAGTTGCTCGCTGCCAATCCTACAGGAAATGTTTGCACTTTGACGGTCCAGGACACCATCCGTAACGATTGGCTGCCAGTGTTGCTTGGTGCAGCTGTTTTGCAGTTTTGTCAATTGTCAACCATTGAGACAATATAGTGGACGTCAACAAGTCGATCGACACCACACCTATGCCGAGTCCAGCGAACATATTTTTCATAACTTCTTCAATGAGATTGAAAAATTAAGCGACAGCAAGAGTCCTTGTCTCACTCAGCTAGGGATGTTTAAGGGCTGCGACAGCTTGACATGTGCCCTCTCTCCACCCGAACTACGCGGCGCGGTGCTTTTCGTCGGACCAGGTGGAATGTGGCAATCGGTGTCCATTGAAAGAAATAACGCTGATCATTGTCTGTTACCGGGGCATTTATTCTGTACGTGGCTTTTTCGCTCAATCGGCATATTGCACGCTACATCTGACAGGCAGGCATCCGCAACACACTGACACACTCCGCCGACACTTCGCTTCCACGTGACCATCATTTGGAACACTGTGAGATCGTCAGCACCTACGCAGATCCGAACTGTTTGCTTGTGGGCCACATGGCAGATACCTCATCACTACTGCCATTGGTCGAGGCACGTTCTACCTATGGGTTAGAAAACAATTGTATTCCAAATTAGGGGTCCACTCCCATGCATTGTTTTGCACGGATGATGCTTCCCTGACATACAACTGCAAGGGTCTTTCTAATGGAGAATAATAACAGGGAAAAAGAAGGATCTTATGGACAACCTGTATACCATAAGTGTACCCTTCACTAAGGATGGCCGGTAAAAATACATGTCCTTTTGCGATTAGTAGACTTTGGTCGCATCCCAGCACTTTTTTCGTACTTTGAATGGCTGCTTTAATATCGCAGCTAAGAATAGTACCTGCTTTACCTACCCTATCGTTTCCTCATCAACATCTTCGAACACATGCAGCCAATGACGAGAGGATGGGCTTCACGCAGTTGGTTTGGTAACGAACTGAGAATCATAGATTCCTCATTTCTAGGACACAACATTGGTTGATATCTGGAGTATACATTTTTCCTACAGGCGCGATCTGTTGACTTCTCTGTCTTCGACCACTAACTTTAAATGCAGCCAAGGGTGTAATGCAACTTCCTCCGATACGTGACCTGTTATGCAAGAGACCGATGGGCTACGGGGTTGCAAAAGCACCATGAGTGCTTCTTCTTTCTCATTTATTGTTACGGACTACGGAAGAAGCGTTGGTAATTGCAGGGAGAAGAGTGATATCGGCAATGTCTTGTTTCGCTTATCCTCACTATCGTGTGCAGCAGATATGGTGGCTTTTGTATTCCACCTGTTGACCAGTATATGATGACACTGAAGTTGCTCCAGAATCTCACCTCATTGGACCCTATGGAATATATCTTAGGTTATAACGGCGCGACTGAGCGACGTTTACTGGGATATTCTGTGTGTCTGTTTTATCCAGCCCGTACTTACCACTCCAACGCAGCTACATGCCACTCTACTGTTATTTGAGTCCTTTTCTGCGAAAAACGATCACGAAACCGTGCGGTTTAGTGACACATCAACGTTATCTGGTTTGGAGGTACCTTCTCAGGAGTAAGGAGGCAACCTTTCTTGTTTAGCCAAAGTGATTATCTATATTTACTCGATCAAGATAATTCGTACCCGTTTTTGATTGCTCGCCCACGGCGTCATTCTCGACCGTATTTCAAAAGTGTCCTTTGATTCTTCACTGGCATGTAGACATGACTGATCAGAATTCGATCCCCAATTGAAAATATATATATATATATATATATATATATATATATATATATATATATATATATATATATATATATATATGGTTGGTGGCATCCGGTTTCGGATTTGCCTGTCACTGAGGCAAGCCACAGGACGCCTGCGCCTACAAAGGGACCATGGGTGGCTTGCGCTGCACCACCCACAGCTCCAACCACATACCCCATATCCAGTGTAAAGCCGAAGGAATAAGACCGGGAGGCATGTGGATGGGAACCACGTTTCATCAACGGAGCCGGCCCACACTCCTTCACAGCAAACACAAACACACTGTATTTGGGAATCAAGCGCACACAAGGCGGTGGCTGGACCGTAGTCCGCTCCACACTGAGTGCATGGAACCACTCTTTGATCTTAACATGGCCACGGGGACCGTGCACCCCGTCCCCTCCAGCAACGACCAACTGTCTGTTGGTGCCAGTATGGACGAGGTAGTGGGTAGTAGACAGGTAGGCACCTTGTCAACATGCACATCAAGCGCAGCCACACCGGGGATATCAAACAACCGCCAATCATTTGAGAGAGAGAGAGAGAGACAAAGAAAATAACTCGATTAACGCATAAGGAAACGGTGACATAACCCTTAAGTTAATGAGCATATGAAATAAACTGTTTACAAACGAATCCTAGATAAGTTCACGAGGTCAGAAAGTATACTTTACGGAAATGCCACGAACACAAAAATGTTATGGAAATCGAATACAATTGGCTTAAGCGAGGTGTGCAAGTTAATGGAATAGAGTACAGGTAGACATTTATATGAGAAAGAAAAGCATTAAGGCAAACTAGAAAACCCACCATCTGAAATAAAGAGACTTAGCATGCAAGCACGCGGTTAGTGAATCGAATGCAGCGTAATTACGAACGCTGCGCCGGTTCTACCTACGTTCTCTGCAGGACCCGTCGTCGCTTCGGTAGTGGTGGTCCCGAGTGGCCTCGCTCATGGCTCACTAGGCCTGCCTGACTCAGGCACTCGCGACCGCATGTGCTACAGCACCATGCCCTCGATGTCGATGGAGTACAACCCATCGGTGCTTGCTGCTTCCGCACTTGCCGCTTCTTCTCTGCATGCATGAGGACTTTCTCCTGCACCTCGGCAACTGCCTTCGTGATCAGATCGCGCCATGCAAGCCGATCAACCGCCTTCGATTCCCATGATCTGCAATCAAGATTAGAACGTGTGAGGCTCACTTTAATCATGTCCTGGTATCGTAGCTTTGGTTTCCCCACGTGCAGCTTCCCAATACTCAGCTGACCGTATAAGAGTTGTTTCGGTATCCGCGTCGAATCCATACGGCTCACATGACCGATCCACCTCAGGTGTCTCAATAAAAGTATGCAGTCCACTGCATGCATCCCACTTCGGCGCAAAACTTCCGTGTCTGCAACTCTGTCGCCTCAACCGATGCGCAAAATCCGTCGCAGACACTGTTGATGGAACCGCTCGAGATATCGCACATCCCGCCGGTACATCGTCCACGTTTCGCTGCCGTATAGAAGAACGGACAGCACCACGGATTTGTACACCATCAGCTTCGTGCCAACGGTAAGCTGATGGTTGTTCCACACTCGGTACTCAAGCTTCCCGAATGCCGCCGCTGCCTTCGACACGCGGATACGCAGCTCACTGTGTAGCTGCTGATCAGTCAACATCACACTCCCAAGGTAACAGAAGCGGGAGGTGGTTTCCAATACTTCAGCACCAATGCTGATTCGCGGCAATATTGAAAATTGCATTTCCGGAGAAGGCTGAAAGAGACAGACAGTTTTGCTTGTGTTGATGGTGAGCCCAAATTTTGCCGCTGTCGAAGCCAGAGCACTAGTCATGTGCTGCAACTCATCCGCGCTGTGTGAAAACAACGCACAGTCTTCAGCAAACAGCAACATACGGATAGTTGTCTCACAGACTGGAGTTCTCGCACCGAAACGATGGATGTTCAGCAACCCACCATCAATACGGTGCTCCACACGAACATATATATATATATATATATATATATATATATATATATATATATATATATATATATATATATATATATATATATATATATATATATATATATATATATATATATACTCGCCGACGGACTTCCTCATTACTGTTGTGATGCTGCCATCGAACACCAGCAATGCTTCGCAAGCAGCGGTGATCGAAGACAGATAGCCGCTGAACATCGCTTTTGCGAACGGGCCAACTCTCACAGCCGTACAGCAAAATCGCTCGTACGGTAGCATTGTAGACTCGTCCCTTGAGAGCGAGGCTGAGGCCACGACGAAGCCACAGATGACGAAGGTAAGCGAAAACGACTCTGGCCTTGGAGACACGCAGGGAGATCTCATCTATCAAACCGCCAAAACTATGACAACTCCCAAGATAAATGAATTTGTCGACCACTAAATTGAACATTTAGCTAAAGATGATAAATTATCCATCACCTAAACTTTCGCGCACCAGTTCCTTCTGCGTTTTGCTGACTCAAGGGCAGTATGATAATCCATTTTTGTAAACAAACAAGAGTTGAATGCTCTATCATCGCTCATTTGTAGTATCAGTGGCACAACAGTGCGCCTACCCTCCAATGTATTCATATGTGTGATCATTCACTTATCCTCCATTTGGTATAAATCTCCTTTTCTAGTGCTTACCTGAACCCACTGCAATTGGGTCCCATCGCCATGGGGTCGCGGGCAGTTCTGTCGGTTCCGGGGGCAGTGTGTTTTCACAGCCGTTCTCAAGCTGGTCTGTGTTTTGTTATCGAAAAACGGAACACACTAAGGATCTTCTTTGTTTGGAGTCATTCGTCAAGCACGCGTCGGAGCGTTGTGGACAACAACACAGGAATCCAGATCTGCTGCTTGCGAACCAACAGCTGAACCATCAGTATTTAACTCTTACCCGCTTGGCCGAGTTCATTCAGCTTTCATGGTCCGGTGGGCGTATACGAAACCTCAGCTCAGGTCAGTTTCTATCCTTTCTAACGTCACTATGTTCCTACAAAAGTCTCGAAAACCAAAAGTCCTCTCTTGCACTATCGTTAAGCTGGATTCCATGTTAGTTTTTGTGTTTCGCGTGTCAGCTTTCAATGTCAAGTTGCACCCTGAAGTGTTCGGTTGGAGATGAGTGGCCAGACGCATTCCGAACACATCCAGTTGCCGCAAATAGCCCTTATCTTCATCGCATTTGATAGAATTTCGATTTTAAAACATTTGTTTGCTACACACTTCTCCCGTTCACACTGTACCTTGTTAGCTTCCACATTTGGATCTGCATACGTTCCTTTGAGTTGGATGCGCTTTCACCCCTGTTGTCGAGCACAGCCTGTATGAATTATCTCATGATTCCTCTTTCTCTAGCCGCAGAACCAGTGACTTAACTCATCCCAGCTCTTTGATGATGATAACTTTCAATGTCACTATTGCTCACTCATTTTTTCTGATATCAAGTAATTTTGCATGAATTTACTTGCGCCACCCACAAAGTACATGCAGGTGCCGCTATCCCTGGTTTTAGCTCACGGCAATCTATGCCCGCTTTGCGCCCAATTTATATGCCCTTGGTACCGGAGTTCTACTTAGAATTATCCCCAGCAGAATAAGATGTAACCTTTGCTTTGATTCACTTAGTTTCTACGTTGGGATCTCTACACTTTACTTTGTCCCTAACGTGCATAGAGTGTGAAAGGTTGTCATAGTGTGATGTGCCAAGTATAGATGCTACTACACCAAAAGTCAGTTGTATATGGGCAATAAACGAACCGGATCGTATCGAGTCAAAAACGGATCAAACCGATATCCTAACACAAGGACAACGCTTGAGGCCGTGAATGGATGTGTGCTTGAAAGAAGCACGTAACAACGGTTGAGAAGCGAATCGCGCAACCTCCAGAAAGATGTTCGCAGACGGTTGGAAGTATTGATGGCCAGACAACATGCCTACAGCGAATGCTCGTGGCCACATTAAACAACTCCGTTCGTATTTCTTAGGTTCCTACTTTAGTTCTGTTTCTATTGTACGATTTGTGGTTGCGTGAATCTGTGCATTGGTGCTACACACAGTGAGCCGGAATCTCAATAGCCGTAGGTGTCGCGCTGAGACTTGCTGTGTGTCGATGCAGTTTTGTGTTAAATTTCTTGGGTTCCCTCCTAGCATCTCACAGGTAACGCATAGCTTCTGCTTCTGAACGGCTCACAGTCAGTTACCACATGTCCCTGGGGTACTGGTCAACGTTGTATCTTTCATACTTAGGGTGCCATCCTATAAAAATAAAACTGAGACCACTCCTTCACACCATCAGAGTAAATTGTTTAACCTGTTTAGATGATTGCACCAACAGAGATGGAAGCGACAGCGGGCCATTTCAAAGTGACATTTTCCGGCTTCTAAACTCCGTTACAGAGATGAGCCATTGGTCAGTGATCCACAGACTGCGACTGTTTGAGCTTAAAACTAGGTAGATGCAATCACTTGCTTGGTACTGTCATGGACTGTAATCATTGATCTGAGCGCATAAAGATATCATCGTAGTTGGATCCAGAGATTAGCAGCAGATGGTGGCACCAGGAACAGAGTCCCGGTTTCTTTAACCTGTTCGCTGCGGATGTCTGCATGAATTATTACTAGATCAGCATTGCATGAAATCCTGCAAATGGATTACGATAATTATCAGGTGGTTGCGTCTTGGTTTTCTAAACCGCGAACAGCCAGACCGTGACGCAATGGCAGGCATTACAACTGAATCCACGTGATTTCCTGTTGTCCATCGAACTGGTCCTATCTATTGTGCCTTACACGTCGCATACACCAGGTCAATTGCATAAGCTGTTCATGTGCGTGCACTGGCCGAGCCGTGAGAGCTCTAACACACGGATTTTTGAATGCATAGAACGCGTTATGTTTTTAGTAGGGAACATTACTAATGGATTCCCAGATGATGATACGTGTGCTGGATACCGGGATTGTGACCAGCGCCTGTTACGAAAGTCGTCAAAGCTATCTGCTTCATTAATGTAATTCTGGGTCTGCTATCAAACGCATGACGAACATTCTTAATCCTACTAGTGCGGTGAGTACACAATGATCTCCTTTGCGGATCCACATTCTTTGAGGTCCTTTTCTACAGTCTACGGTGAGCCCCCGGATCCCTCCTTCCTCTGACTGTGCCACTTAAGATGATGCCTATGCTCGTAAGAATCCATCGATTCACACATCTGTTATTGTTTCAATCATTTACTATTTATCATTAACTACTTATTTGTTCACTTTGTTTTGTGGAGCCTTTTGTGAAAGTTGATACCTTACTCAGCAATCACAAAGGTCGGACATTTTTAGAAACCTTTGAGACATCAGTACCTGATCAAGGCAAAGTGAACTTTGTAGGTACATTTCCTTCGTTCGACCCGCATCTCTCAGATAGCGTTGTTGTTTTATATGTTGGATCAGTTGGCCTCAGCGTCCTAGGAGCAGTCAACATTGACTTGTACGTGATGTAGTAATATCATAGTCTATACTCGCATGATCGCTGCGAGACACCCTATGCAGCCAACGGATTTCCCATCGAGGCGTTCGACGTCTCTTTATGAATCAGTGACTCTAAAATCTATCCAACACCATACTATTCGCAAAAGTGGATCAAATGTCTTTTGGTTACCTTGTCTACTTATTATGGGTTCCATCGTTTGCTTCCTGTAACTCCATGGCAACTGCTGGTCCATCGAGTTGTGTTCGGTGAAGGGACACCAAGATTTGCTACGGCTGGGTTGTAATGGCGGTATTGCAATGTCCCTACTTCACTGTTTGTGTCGGATTGGTGTCTTTCTGTTTCACCTTCTCGCGCATTTTTGTTATGGTTGTATCTTGCGTATTATTTCATGTTTTCCGACTCAAGCTATTGCAAAGGGAACGGAAATTCCTCCAATATTCTTAGTCACATTCCAAAGCAGACTACTGACGAATTTAACTGAGTGATCCACGTAACTGCTTTGTATTTCGGGTGGAAATGTCTGTCTGTTAGCTATTGTTGATGATTACTTAGACTTGATAATCTTTAATATTTACTTTCGACTACTAATAACACATGTTCCACAGCACCGTATCAGCTCTACGATCGGTCATGTTTCTTTGCCACTGGCTCTCTTCGTTTTTATGAACATCTCATTAGTCGACAGGTGCCGCGAGCCATTCACCACTTTGCTTATTTTGACACACCTAACCGTTTTTAATTGCGAATAATGCGATCTGGTGCTTGTCTCGTTCTTTTTTCAGATGATTTCTACAAGTTACTCTCACCATTCGCTGGGCATACACTGTTCGATTTGATCAGATCACGCGTGAAACGATAACCTGCTACTGCATCGCGTGTTCTGGACAAATATCAACGGCATAGCCACACTATGAGAGAAACTACGTATTCCTTTTTCTCTACTTCATGGCAATTGGTGCGCTAAACTATTTGGAGTGGTGCATTATGCAAGTACTCTGCAAGTCTCGTGGAAGCACGGAATTTCTACTCCCTAATGAGTGGTTCACTTTTTGCCTGCACTGGACCTTCTGAGATTTGCACACCTTCCGTCACAGCAACCGTCGCTCATATTTTGTCGAGTGTCACCATCAATCGTACGCTCGTGCCCATCCTCAACCCTCCACACATCTGTGGGTATGGGATGAGAACTCTCAGGACGCAACGCTGACCGGACATGTCCCTCTTCTCTTATCGATGGAAATGACTAATTTGTCTCATATATCAGTACTCACTAGGTTGAGTCTTGGTATGACATGCCAATTCCCCTCGCTATCACAATATCCCGCCTCATATCGGTTGTCCCACTCAGTCTGGTGCATGTGTATCAGACAGGACAATTTTCTGCCTTTAGACAGTTGTTAATGCGCCTTAATACTCTTTTTTCGTGTGCAGTTGTTGATCTTTTCGGCCTATACTTGAGGTTTGGACTCCGCGCTTATTCGTAAGCTTGACTTAGTAAAATTGTTTTCATGTAGTCATTGCGCCGTATGCAATGACCAGTCACGTCGTCATTAGGAGCTTAGCGTTTATCCTTTGCATCTTTTGTTTTATGGATTGTGAATGTTTGGGTAATGGAAAACGAAGCCCAAATGCGAAAGTTTTGTTATCATTCTTATTTGTGGTCTGGGCTTGTGCTCGAGGACTCACGCACCTGCTTTTTTACCCGTTATAAATCATTGTTCAAACCACACCTTGTGGAACACCACTCTTTCAGAATACTTTTTAATACTTACAGATTATAAACTTCAACGCAAAATATTACCTCGTTACTATCAAATAAGGCGGTAAATCCGACCTTGGTTGATAGCGTCCTTGAGTACATTGCTTGTGTTGAACTGGCGTATCAAACGGCACATTGTCCGTAATCGTTGTTGCACTTCTTTGTCCCGTCTGTGTCTCTCTTGTGCCTTTCGATGCAACCATCTACAAATCACGAAGAGGGAATTGTATTAACGCGACTTCTCAACCGAAGATAGCTCTTCTTATAGTCTCTTAACCTCTACCCATCATTGGTCACAAATTTTCATCGGCTCCTAAAGTAGCCTTTCCTGATAACCGTCAATAGACGATGAGGTACAAGGCTTCCTCAGCATGTTATGTGAGTTGTCCAAGTCTCAGTAGCTTGACTTGTCTCTCATTGGCCCAAATTTTGCTAAACCCCTTTTCCCCATTCCCGGTGACACGGCTAGGAGCCGGCCCCAGTGGCGTCAGTGCTGTTTCTTTGTCCATCCTTCTCACCCTTAGATTCTCCCTCCAATCACGATCTCATACCAAATTAATAATATGATATTTAACCATGTTAATACAAGAACTTTTTATAATGTTATTTTTAGTGTCTTCTTGTAGTGAGTCACATTAGCGGAGGCGTATCGATGATGATGGTGGTGAAGTAACCAACCAGCTTAACTCCCAGAAATCAGCTGCCAGTGTCAGCCGAGGCATCTACCACCCATCCGGAAAAGCACCAGGCGGCCGTTTGGAGCTCGACAGCAACGCACATCTACCGAGTCCCAGTGGATTCGAACTCTTGACTTAACTCTCGCGAACCTGCCACTGGCCGGCGGTGGCGGCAGTTTACTCTCTTGAACTTTCATACGTCACAAGGATCACACGCTCGTCTAGTAATCCGGATACCAACGGTTTAAGCCTGCGTAGGGACCGAGTCACACTCGCAGTATCAATAACCCACGCAAGACCGGTGGTGGTTGCGTGGCAGCAATGCGTCGGTACTGCGTACCGGCGTATTGCTGATGCCTTCCGTTCGTCACATGCACTCACACCCAAAGTTTTAGTGGACTCCCATGAATTTACTTATCACACGTATCTCCCATCCACTCACTTACTGTTTATAAGCCTGTTCACATTGTTCCCTTGAGCGAGGGACGGTGAAAAGTAGGCGTTCCACTTCCTGGATTCGCTTCACAATTTGTTCCCGATGCCTCTGAATAGATTTGGATTTGAACCACGCTACAAGTTGTTGCTCACGGAATTTCTCTTTTTCTGCCTGGAAACCAAAACGTTACAGTTAGTCGATAACCAGTGAATATTCCAACAGTCACGCACGCACAATCCTTACCTCGTTTTTTCGTTCCTGTTCTTGTGCCTTCATCTGCTGTGTTCTTTCCTTCTCTCTCTTCTCCCGTTCTATCCTCTTTTTCTGCTCCATCCATGCCTGAAGTGATATGGACCGTGTTACTTCTCTTGATGATGACTATTTCGACAGAAATGATCAACGACTGTTCCTAAGATTAGGATAAGCGCTTTACCGTCTATTATTTGTATCCCTTCTGGCACGACTACTGCGTACAGACTATATATAACAACGGCCCACAATATGAGCTAATATAGCGATGGCCCATTTGCTGTTATGCCGCACTCGAGACAGTCAAATGGGGCGCATGAAACCTTCAGAGAGACTACCCCGCATGGAAGCAGTTTCTTGGAAAGCGGTTTCACGGATAGCCGTATTAACTTCCCTTAAACTTTTCTCAATAATCACTTTCATCCTACCTTCAAGCGTATCATCTTTACCGATGGAACTCCCAAAATATTATAAAAGACTAAATTGTCTAATAGCTCTAAAATGAATATTTTTTCATCAAGGCATATATGACCTGCCCACTCGTTGGCAGAAATTCGTAGATGCCAATAGAAGGTATTTCGACTGAAAATAATTGCGAAAAATGCGCTTGATCGTTTTCGATTATCACACAAAATCCACTTCTCATCACAAGTGATGATTTAATGTAAAAGCGGCAATCATATAGTATTGCGAAGCGACAAGGACGCGCACTTGCTCTCGCGGTCGATCATCTGAAGTTGCGCCAGTTCGTACGGGGCACATACGAGTTCAATTTTCTTGCTTTATTTATTGCACGCAGATGTTTTAACACAGCCGTATAGCTAGTTCCGAGTTTACACATAACTTCACGAATACTCGTGTATGGATCGGATTCCACAGTCATCCTTAATTTCTCGTCAGCAATATGGGCCGGTGGTCTTCCTCGAAGCTCGTTGACGATACACAAATTGTCAGAACGAAAATTTGGAACCAACATCTTTAGTATTGGATCTAACTTCGAATGCTTGATTAACGTTTCTCGAAGCTTAGGCTGCGCTATGATTCAATTTCAAACACGTACAAGAAAAGTAGATGTAGATCGCGTTTGGTTTCCATCTGGTTTCGGATCGAAATTGGGTTACAAACACTGAAACAATTTTACGAAAAGAGTAAGAAAAACACCTTTGAAAATTTATAAATAAGAATATCGAACACACGTTATAATGAACCTTCCTCAGTCGTAGGTGAACACAGACTAAACAAAAACGTCCGTCTCATAATTTCCAACCAAATATATAAAAATATTCAGAACGAAAACAAATTGCTTCTGATGTCAGTCTAGGTTACATTGAACGGAATAATTATGTTTGTTACGGTTCGGAACAGAGTAGATCGATGTCGTTCCACAAACGTTTGTGTTTCTCCTCCGCCGTCACACTTATTTGACCTTATGGTCGTGTAATGCAGCCAAGCACAAAATTACCTCGCGTACATATATTTGCGATGATGGTCATAAGCACCATCGATACTATATCGATCTTCAAGGCGCATCGTTCTTACGTCCGACAATTAGAGCAGTCGAAATGCTTGCACTCCTGTCTGTGTAAACGCCCATCGGATTATCAGCAAGACCTAGATACTCACAATAACTTTGTGTGAACGCATTATAAATGCTAACTATACTCACTTCAATCGATTCGAACGTTGTTTTACGTTTTCTTTCGGATTCTCGGGAGAGTTCTTTGGGTTCATTGCCTATTTGATACATTTTCTGGCAAGCGCTTCTAATGCCCCGCATTGTCGATCCTGACGCTTGAGTCCTGCATGCGTTACTCACATTTCCCGAGTCTTTTGTTTTACCATACAACGGATGCGAAGCATATAGGCGGTCTGTGATAGGTGGTGAAAAACAGCTTTATGGCGTCAGTTCCAGGGAGTACACCAGACTTAAAGTTTTTGTGTCCCATCCCTACCTTGATTTGATAAATTCTTTTGATGCAAGGTGCTACTATTGCGCGATCAGTTCTTAACTCGAACGGGTGACATTTGGAAGTCTGATAAGCGACCATTTTGTGGATTCAATGGGTATTACAACAGGCAGTTTCTTAGCCGATCCGTGCTATTACGTAAGGGTTTCGGCAGTGCCTACCACGAAAATTGCATCATTTAATGGATATGGCAAGCATTGGATGAGGATACTTGGTGCTCCATTTCATCTTGAAAGAGGGGGGCTAACTTCTTCCACAGTTGCGTGCTGTCAACAGTGTCATTAGTCTAACGTGTATTAGATTTCTGTCGGTGGCATGGTGGTTTGCCGAGTGACCACCCCCCGGTATACGGCTTATTCGCGTGCGTTGAAACTCAGCTGTTTTTACGTGAATGCGCATGAACAAGTCCCTTTTTATGCCAAGTCCATGGAAGTCAGTTACGGAGCATATGCTTATACCACATCACTAGGCCACTTTGGAATGAAGTTCGTTTTCAACCTTGTGGCAATCTATATAATATCTAAATAAACATTAAAAGTATCATTTTCCATCTATATTATGAGATCCAGTCGCTAGACTACGCACAGGTGTTGTTAAAGCACCAGATACTTTCGATCGATTTGGGAACAGACCCTATCAGATAAATCAATCCAGAGTCAGACTTCATTACATTAAAAAAAGCTGTTGTCCCTCTGTGGTAGTATAATCAGCAGTCTATCAAATAGACAGAGCCAAACATAACCATGGAAATCATTAAAAGAACAAAGGTTGAACATCGTATCAGTATCACGGTACATTGACCGAAGGTGAGCAATACGTTTCAGCTATTGTGCCGCAATTTAAAACCGCCGCAGCATTTTTTGTTATTTTGTACATGGCTTTTTAATTTTTTGTCGTTTTTAATCGTTAAGCATTAAGTGTCCAAATATAAGCAGTTATATACGCAGATCCTCCACTAGTTTCGATTACGAACCATATCCTGAATTGTTTCCAGCCATCGGCACTCCTCCTCCTTTGGTCCCCAACGAAGCAGGCGTGTGGATGCAATGGTGGCAAGATGTGAAAACGATTTCATTTGCTGTCTCCAGGTGGATGTTGGACTACCACGTTGTCTCTTCCGTTTGAGTCCTGCACGAGCAAACAGAGCGCGATAGGGCATACCCTCAACTGACATACGTAGTACATGACCGAACCATCTTAACTGGCGCAGCGAAACCAGCTCGTCGAAGGGAATACTCGCATTCCCTAAGACACGATGTCTGACTTCACTGTTGCGAATGTGTTGTTTCCACTACACACGAGCAATCCTCCTCAAGCACCTGTGGTCGAAGGTCGAGAACTGGCGCATATCGTCTACGCGAACTGGCCATGACTTGCTTCCATATAGCAACACCGCCCGAACGGTAGCATTATAAACACGATCCTTTACCAAGAGGGGTATATCCCGGTGACGCCACAAGTGCTGCAGGTTGACAAACGCCGACCGAGTTTTGCTGATGCAAAGAGAAAATTCCCTTATAATGGTACCACCAGCAGACACACAGCTGCCAAGGTGGACAAAGCTATCCACTTGTTCAAGCTGCGTACCTTCAATATTGAGCACGGGAACAGTTGAGTGCCAATCCTGAAGCAGCACTTTACACTTTGACGGGGCAAAGCACATTCCGTACCTAGATGCTTCAATTGCCAAGCGGTCTAGAATAGTTTGCATGCCCTGTGAGTCCTCACCAATTAAGGTGATATCATCGGCATAATCTAAGTCGATTGCTCGCCCGGTAATAGCTGTGTACCAAAATTTTGGCAACTGTCTACAGCTCTCGACAGGATGTCTTCAATCGCAAAATTGTGAGGAACGGGGACATAGGACAGCTTTGTCGTACACCGCTATTGACAGCGAAGGACGACGAAAGCCTGCCATACACCCTCACTCTGCCAGAGATGTGGAAATACAGTGTGCGTAGGATGGCAGTGTACTTTTCTGGGACACCGTTCCTTAGCAAACAACGCCATAGTGCAGGTCGATCAGCCGAGTCGAATGCGGCACAGATGTCCAGGAACGCAACGATGGTAGGCCTCTGGTAAAGGTGGCTGTGTTCCAGGATTTGACGGAGTGTGAATATCTGATCCACACACCTGCGGCCAGGTCGGAAGCCAGCTTGTTCTTCCCGGTACTGCGATTCGCGAATGGGAGATAGTCTACGGAGTAGAATGGATGCCAATAGCTTGGAGGCAACCGAAATGTGACTAATCACTTGGTGATTGGTACACAAAGTGCGTGCACGCTTTATAAAAACCGGGAACAATAACTGACTTGCTCCAGGAAGAAGGCATCGTTACTTCATGCCAGATTTTTGGAGAACAATGAGGTTAGCTGGCTAGTGATAACTGAGCCTCCATGTTTGAACAGCTCCGGAGCAAGTCCGTCTGAGCCGGCAGTTTTGAATCGTCTTCGGTGTCGAATCGCACGACAAACTTCCGCTTCGCTGGGTGCATCAAGTGTGACGACCCAAAGCTGGCAGCTGGGTTCGCAGGGGATATAAGTGGACGGTGAGGGCCAATGGAACTGGGAATGAAAATGTTCGGCCCATCGATCCAAGCGTCTCTGTAAGTTGACAATCGACGAACCATCAACTTCGCATATAGTCTCGCTGACACCAGACTTTCTGCGGCCAGTGAATCGAATGAGCTGGAAGAGCTTGCGTATATTGCCAGAGAGTGCAGCGGCCTCCGTTTCCGAAGCACGCTGGGACCACCAGGCTTCGCAGTCACTGCGTAGGCTTTGTTTGAGCTGCCTATTGACAGAACGGCGCACTTCATCATGATTAGACTCCGCTGGGATATTCCTGCGGCGGTCAACTAAATCCAACTCAACTAAATCCAACAAGTAGGTGGAGATCCAGGCCTTCATAGGGTGCTGAGTAAGACCACAGGCTTGCTGTTCGGAAGAGATCATGGTCCTCTGCATAGACGTACAGTGTTCATCAATATCTTGCGGTGGCTCGCAGCCGAGCGCACCAGCCAGGGAAGCTTGATAACTATTCTGAACCAAAACAGTATATACTTTATTTGTGTCTAGCTTAAAACGCTACATTTTCGGGGACCTTCAGAAACGCATGCAGATGTTCGCAAAGACAAGAGTATGGTCTGAGTCAAGAAAAGTGGACCAGATGGATCTGCAATTCTTTACACTACTCATCCATCTGAAACTGATTGCGAGAAGATTAATCTGAGACCTTGATTGAGACGCAGAAGGAGGTCGCCAAATAGCGGAACGTCTCCTCGAATGCGAAAGTTGGTGTTCGATAGAAAAAGATGATTATCTTCGCACAGTGTGAGTGGCCTCTCTCCATTAGCTGAGCGGCTCTCATCGAGCGCATGATGACCACCAAAGTGACTTTTGCATACCAACAGACCGCCGACCCGTGCGTTGAAATCCCCAAAAAGTACAACAATGTCGGATCTGCAGGCTCTGCTCAAGAGCTGCTGAAGTTCGCGGTAGAAATCGTCCTTAAAGGAGTCGGAAGTGCAGTCAGTTGGAGCGTAAGTTGAGATCACAAACAAGTTGTGTCTCTCCTCATGAAATCGGTTTATCTTGCATGATCCCCGAAGCTGAAGTGTACACAGTCGGCCATTAATCGGGAATCAATGCTGCCTCGGCTTTGCTACTTAGTGCTACACCAACGCCAGCCAACCATACCACAGCTGTCTCTGCGTCACCCGATAGACGTAGGTGAAATATGGCACCGTGGTCGGTGAGAGGTCTCAACTCAATCACAGTATTAGGATCTTGTAAGCGCGTTTCGGAAAGACAGTAAACATCGATGACGAGGTATTCCAGGATGCGCGCAAGATCAGCTTGCTGCCCGATCTGCATGAGTGTACGTATATTGAAGCATGCCAGGCGGGACGAAGACCGAGACCGAAGGAGTGCAACTGGGTGAGCTCTCTGGGTGTCGACGAAACCAAACGGAGTAGAATCATGGAAACAAGAATCATTTGGTAACGGATAATACTGATTAGTGACAAGTGAACAGGTGGCGTGTGAAGGCGAGTGACTAGCACGAGCAAAAGCAACTGAGAACGATATTGCAGTTGAACAGTCCATGGTTTTATCAGTGGGCGTGATACTACCTGGTTGCCCAAACCGAAGTAGAGATCTTAGTGGAATCCACCCCGAACCTTTGGCTAAATAGCCTCCCCGCAAGGCAGCGGGGTGATTGTAAGACTGTTACTCTGACCCTTAACCACTGATCTGTCTGGCTCTGAAGGCACTTGAAAGTGCCAGCCAAGTGTAGCTCAATCTGTCACAGGGGTGCACAAACCATCACACCACGTTAAGGTCCAGTTTCGTTGTTCCTCTGTACCTAATTTCCAATCGCTGCTTCTTTCAGATTGCACCGTACTGAGACGGACACAATATCACAGATTTGAAAATACTTTCCTTTGTCTACACACTTTTGTGCGGTCGTTCACCACCTATGCCATAAGCAGTTGTGATAAGACTTAATCTAGCCCCCGGACGCGACGAACTAGATGATGGTGGTGATAGACGGGCAATGAGCGTTTCTGTTTGTGTACATGTATGTACGAAAGTATATCAGCACAATAAGGATTACATATGCTACACCGTTTAACATAGTCGCCCGAATGAACGACCTACTTTGTAGTGACAACTGGACTGCCTATTACTCTATAGTGAATGTTACTAAAAGCAACAGGATTTCCACGGTCAGGTGGATTGTAAAGAGTTTAGTATGCAAGCATATGTGTATACGGTTATGCGCTTAGATGTCCCTAAGTACGAAAGTCGTTTTTAATCCATGTTAATAACAAGCAGCTAGCCGTCGTGTTGACGTTTTATCCTGTTCATGACCTAAAGGAAAAAGTGGATAAAGCCATCACAGCAGTCGTTCTGAAGCTGAGTTTCGCCTTCGAATTGAAACCAGGTCCAGGATCGTCAATAGTTTTTTAAATGCACCAAGCTTTCCATCTATCAAATATGCGAGGCCATCTTCACGTTACTCATCACCCTACAGTCAGTTTGGTAGCGAGATTCGCCTGGACACTAACAAGCACACTTGCAGATTATCTGGTCTCTGTAATTTTTCGATGTGATATTTTTTATACCATACGGCAAACATACCTGGTCTACAGTGCCTTTCTCCTCTCCTCGCCCTTTGAGTCGTTAAATCCTTTGAGTCGTCCCTGACCACCACTTCGCGTGATTCACCAGTTTCCAGCAAATTCTGGTACGAACCGTCAGGGGAACCTTCAGTTGGGTTTGAATCCATTCGCACAATTTTGTTTGTCGCCACGTCTCCAAAGTTTTGGCATAATTTTGGGTCTACGGAATCACCAAATTGGGCCACGACTGCTGGCCTTGGAGAAATTTTTTCACTCTCTCCCATTCGTCGCGCCACTTGGTCTCCATCGAGTGGCACTACCTGGTCACTTTCATGCTCCGGATGTACAGGAAGATGTACATTTTGGTGGTCGAAATTCACTCGGCGATCTTTGTTCTGTGGTGTGGGCATCCGTGCGAATTCCTCATTTATTTGATCCAACCGACTAAGAGCATAATGGTCGGAGCTGTCATCGGAATCTTCTTCCGAGTGGTATCTCGATTCTTCTGGTGCGGCTGACTCTGCCTCATATATGGCGTCGGAAACAATTTGTTCGAGTAGCCTTAGTACATAAGCTGTTGCCATTTCTTTCTGAAAAACTTGGAATAGAGCAATGCAACAGGTACCTTACCGATATTCAACGGTGTAGCACACAGCGGACAAAATAAACAGAGATAGTAATTCATGCGTATAGGTTTGCAAAAATCCAACAGCCATTTCAAGACATCATTTTCATTTTACCGACTGAATGTCGTTTTGAAGAAATGGTATGTGGCGTCACTGTATCCTTTGCTGGCCTACCTACATGCAGTTTTTACTTGTTCTGCTACCCACTCCATGCTCTTGTATATTTCCCCTTACGTACGTGTTCAGATGTTTACGTCCTCCCACCGCCTTATCTCCTGTCTACGCCAATTGTAATATAGCGCACTGTACCTGCCAGTGGTTACCTTCTTATTTTCGCACTAAAACTGGGGTTAACCGGTTCCACATCTGGGTGATCTCTTCACATGGCGTGTTTTCGTAGTTGTTTCTGTCTACCATGAGCTGTATTCTACAAAATGCGACACTCCGGTATGCTGAATCAAGTAATGACGAGTGGGCGACGGATTAGCGTGTATGGTAGTTTCGATTTCATCTTTTATTTACGTGAGTTGGCATATCTTTCTGACTGATAAAACGAGGCCTTTCACGTTATTCATGGGTAACATGAGGGGAATCAAACTAAAAAAATCTTTCCAACAGATTGTATTAGGGTTGTGCGGTTATGCACCACATGTCTGAAGGAATCAGTCACAGCAAGCTTGACTCGAGTTGGATGAATCTAGGACGCTGAGTTCCGTGTGACCAGTCACTGATGCCTAGCCAAGTCGAAAATGCCGCCATGTAGTGGCGCACGCAATCAGGCTGTGGCCATGGCAGGATGAGGACTTTTACTCGCATCTTGTAGACGTGGCCAACAGACGCTTTTCGCGTCCATTGTTGATCGAGTGCTCCAGGAAAAAATTACGTACTTTTCTAACCGGGCTGCCTCCTCTAGAAATTGGGTATTGTTCTGTTGATCATTTTGATAGAAATCTAATCGTGCGTCTTTGCACAATGAAGTTGGGGAATATGTGTAGCAAAAGTTCTCCATAATATACTATTTGTGGATCCTTAAGACATTGGACAGTAGACAACGTAGTTTCAGTGTTGAAACTAATAATAATTTATATTTCCGGATTTACGAGACATGATCTTTTCGGGATGATCAATAGACTCTCCCTGTCCAGTGCGTTTGGTTTACTGCGATCGGCCATCTTATGTTTAGTAGCTCTAACTAGGCATCCTTTTAAACTGGAGTAAGTACGTTTTGGCAACCCTACCGATGAATCTATGAATGGCTAATAACAACGGAAGACTTTTCGTGAGAATCAACTTACGCTCGTGAACATCGGCTTGGGGCCTTCGTCATCTACTTCCATCTCGGTCAGGTCATGGTGAGCACTAAAGGACCCGCAAGTCTTAAGTTCAGTTCAGTTGATCAACTATGATCCGAGCACTGAAGTGCGGTGGATTCAGTTGCCACGACTCACATCGCAAGAATAACTAAATAACAACGGCAAGACAGTGCGGCTAAAGGCAAATAGAATGAAAAGAAAATGGAAGTGCGTTAAACTAATCAGAATAGAACCAAATACAAGAAACCGAATGCAAGAACGACACTGACTGCGTGACGGCGCCATGTCAGATACAGTCTCTAACCATTGGTGTGGACTATCCCTAGGCCCCCATCAGTCCGACCAAGTCTCAGTTCATTTCCTGATGTCGCCAGGTCACGTCATGGACTGGTCGCCTCGCGGTTCCACCCAACTTGGTGCAACTACGGCGTATAATGCATGCCGATGAAGCCGGTCAACGGGCATACGTAGAACATGACCTAGCCAATCTAGACGATTAAGAGTCAGCAAACACTCCAGAAGGCTTTTTGCCAAAGATCAACTGGCGGACCTCAGCACTGATCACCCGATGTTCCCAACAGACGTGAGGAATACTCCGGGAGCGCCGTTAGTCAGAGACGGTCAAGCGTTTATGTAAGTCTTAAACTAGGTAGGTAGTAAGTATTAGTCGAAAATATGCACAACCTGGGTAAAATCATTAACTCTGCGCAAAAACAATTTGTAGAACATTTTCAGATATTTTACTACCCACAAGTCCTAAACTAGGTAGTAAAACATCTGAAAACGTCCTACAAGTCGTTTTTGCGTAGTTAGTGATTTCACCAAAAATAAATATGTACTCGATTTAATAAACTGTCTGTGACTCTCATTCCGGCCGAAACGGGCGTTTCTCCCAAAGTTCGTGATTACTTTTAAACGATCGCGGACCGAGGAATGGCTTTTGATGTATCTGACAGGGTGCTTGTGTGTCGGTGGCGTCTTATAAGTGTCTTTTCTTGTTCTCTGGCGCCTGAGTTGGAGCTGCGTGATGCGATCAGTTTCTCTTGTACTTTTTGTGCAAGCAATTGAGGAAGTTAGCTTACTGGCCTGGCTCAGGCTGCCTTCCTCATTGATTTGCTAGTACGCAAACGTCGTTCACAGTCATTCTGAGATTGTGAGCATGGCTGAGTAGCCTTTCCTAGATGTGTCACGTTGTGCATTTGCTCATACCAACGTCTCCGATCCAGTCACCAATCACTAGCTTATTTCAGCGCCTTAGGACTTCCCAACCTATATCACGCTATTCGTCTCAGGCCTGATGACATTTTTTAAAATGAAGTCTATTTCCACATGAATCTTAAGAATGAACGAAAAACTTTCATAATTTATAAGCGTGGTATAGACATCCAATCTTACTGGGGTCTTCCTCGTAGCGCTTCTTAAGGATTGATCCAGAAGCAGCTTCTTTACTGGGTACATCAGATGACCCTGTTTGTGTTGTCGAGCTCGCTCGGGTTTGCCCGCCCTTCGATTGAATTTCTCCAGTTGCCATTCCGTCGACCCCTTTAAATTTAGCTGTCTATTTTGCTTAATGCGAGTGGTTCAGAGGCCCGCCTGAAAAAGTGATGGAAACGTAAAAATGCAGTTTTGTATTTTAATCTAAGGCAGCTACAAACCGATTGCTGTGGTTTCAAAGTGGAGCTGTGCTCCCCTATCTTGATATATATATATATATATATATATATATATATATATATATATATATATATATATATATATATATATTATACACAATCTGTGGTACAGATATTGTGCCATCGGAATCATGGCTGAATAGGAAAACAATATGAATAATAAGAAAAGAGCAACAAGAAATGCTTTTTTGTCAAGTTTACCACTCACAGTTTTTGAAATTTTTTTCAGTTTGTTCGTTTTTAGGGGGAGGAGGAAGGGACACCGCAACACACTGATGCACACGTCCGCCATTGACATCGATCTTGAGCCATAACTTCCAAGGTTTTCAACCAGCAAGTATCCTCGTCTCTCGGACCCCAACCAGGTAGTCGACAACAACCGGCCGAGGCCAATTGTTTCGTCAACTTTTTCATGCGGCTTCTCCATGTTGTAGGCTGTCCACCAGACCGTCTCTTCCAGCCCTGTCCAGCAAGTGCAAACAACGCACGACGGGGGTAACGCTGGACAGGCATGCGCAATACGTGTCCCAACCACCGCAGTTGATGCAGTGAGATGAGCTCCTCGAGCGAGTGGCTTCCACGTCCCAAGACACGCTGTCTAACTTCCACATTGCTTACGTGGTGCTGCCACCACACACGGGCAATGGACCGCAGACAGCGGTGCTCGAAGACGGATAGCCTGCGCAGGTCATCTTTACGAATGGGCCAGGTCTCGCATCCGTACAACAGTACAGCACGAACAGTTGCACAATAGACCCGCCCTTTGATGGAGAGACGAATGTCGTGGCGACGCCACAAATGCCTCAGCCTAGAAAAAGCGAGGCGTGCTTTCGAGATGCGCATCGAAATCTCGTCTCCAACAGCCCCGCCAGCAGTGATGCAACTTCCCAAGTAGACAAAGCTCTCCACAACCTCCAGTGTCTCACCAGCAAGCGTGAGTGCAGGCAGAGGCACCTGCCAGTCTTGAAGGAGAGCCTTGCATTTGGATGGCGAAAAGCACATACCATACTTTGATGCTTCAATCGTCAAGCGGTTTAATGCAAGTTGGACGACCTGTGGATCGTCACCTAGCAAGACGATATCATCAGCATAATCCAAATCAGCAACTCGACTACCTGGGAGGAGCTCAACGCCAGCGTTCAACGAATCGCTCAGAGCGTTCTTCAGGACATCCTCAATGGCAAAGTTGAATAGGAACGGAGAGATAGGGCATCCTTGTCGAACTCCACTGGAGACCACAAAGGTAGGCGAAAGCATGCCATAAGCCCTAACCCTGCCCGAGGTCAGACTGTATAGAGCGCGCAGTATGGAGACGAACTTCTCGGGGACACCGTTCCTCAGAAGGCACTGCCACAATACTGTACGATCGACAGAATCGAAGGCAGCACGGATATCCAGGAACACAGCAATCGTTGGCCTCTGATACACATGGCGGAGCTCGAGGAGCTGGCGAAGTGTGAAGATTTGATCGATGCAGCCGCGACCAGGGCGATACCCAGCTTGTTCTTCTCGCTGCAACGATTCGCGTGTTGGGGATAGCCTGCGAAGTATGATGGACACCAGCAGCTTGCAAACGACGGGGACTAAACTTATTCCTCTGTAGTTGGAGCAGATTGTGCGCAGGCTCTTTTTGAAGATGGGTACGACTATCGATTCACCCCAAGATGATGGAACCTTCTCTTTCGACCAAATTTTCGAGAACAAAACGGTGAGTTCTCGGACCAGCGATGCGCCACCATCTTTAAATAGAGCTGGGTGAAGACCATCAGGGCCGGGAGCTTTATAACGCTTCAGGTGCCGGAGCTCCTGCTCGATTTCCTGGGAAGAGGGAGGGTCTGTTGGGGTAGACCACTCGGCCCCAGCGCGAGCGCCAGAGGTAGCAGATGGAGCTGGGGGCCAACAAAACTGCGAGCCAAAATGTTCGGCCCATCGCTCCAACCGTCGTTGAAGATTGGTGATTAAGGTGCCATCCTCTTCGCATATTGTTTCACTTATACCAGATCGAACACCTTCGGTGACTCGAAGGAGATGGAAGAGTTTCCTGGTATTACCACAGAGACTAGCAAGTTCCATCCCCCTAGCACGTTCACACCACCAAGCTTCGCGGTCCATTTGCAGACTCCTGCGCAACTCTCGACCAAGGTATTGGCGTTCTTCAACGTGTCTCGAATCCGATGGGATCAAGCGGCGTTTGTCCATCAGCGACAAGGAGTCGGCGGAAATCCAATGTTTCGGTGGGTGACGGGTAACTCCACAAGTGTCGATACTTGCGGAAACTAACGCATCTTTGATATGCGCCCACTGCGAATCGAGATCACCGTCAATAGTTGAGCCAAGCAAAGTTGACAGTGAGGCTTGGTACCTGGTTAAAACCGCAGCGTTTTGTAGATTTGCGACGTCCGGTCGGTAGTGGGCGCGCTTAGGTGATCCTCCGAAACGCATGCAAATCTTAGCACGAACCAATGCGTGATCAGAGTCCAGAAAAGTTGACCAGTACGATCGGCAGTCCATTACGCTTCCGCGCCATCTGTAGCTGATTGCTATGTGGTCAAGCTGGGAGCACTCTTGCGTTTGTGAGGGCGGGCGCCAGGTAGCAGTCTGTCTCCTCGAGTGTCGAAAACTAGTGCTCGAAAGAAACAAGCGATGATCAGAGCAAAGAGCAAGTAGTCTGTCTCCATTGTCTGATCGACTGCCACCGAGACCAAAACTACCCCCAATGTGGTGCTCGCTTGGTAGAAGGCGGCCAACCCGTGCGTTAAAGTCCCCGGCAAGAATGACTATATCCGTCCGTTTGGAGGAACGCAGAAGTTCATGTAGTTGTTGGTAGAAGCTATCTTTAACTGCATCCGGGCTGCAGTCTGTAGGGGCGTAGGCGGAGACGACAAATAAGGCACGCTTAACATCTCGACGCCTGCTTACGTTACATGAACCTCTTAGTCTGACTGCACATAGTCGGCTGTTGACTGGGATCCAGTCAAGCAGAGCTGATTCAGCCCTGGCACTTAGTACAACCCCAACACCAGCTTGACCAGTGGCGGCAGATTCTGGGTCTCCGGAAAGCCGCAAGTAGTATTTGGCGTCAGAGTTTACCGGAGAGGCCATTCTGATGACGGCGCTAGAGTCTTGTAATCTGGTCTCTGAAAGACAACAGATGTCTACCGATAGCGTTTCAAGAGTACGGGCCAGACATGCTTGTCGTCCGATCTGCATCAAAGTTCGAACATTAAACGCTGCGAGGATGAATGGAGAACCAGGTCGGAGAAGAGCTGGAGCTTCGGTGGAGTGAGAGGCGGTTGCGATCGCAGGACATGGAGAACCGGGAGTTTGGCTGTTACTTCCATCAGCTGCGAGACGTGGGTCGTTTGTGACGGTGACCGTAGAAGACATAAGAGTACATGTAGATGAAGGACGGGAGGTGGGGTGGTCTGTGAGTGGACGTTGAGCGGTTGAGTTAAGACAGAAGAGCGGCATAGCAGTAGTAGTAGTGAGCGGTGAAGTCCATGATTCGTCAGCGGGCGTGATACTACCCGGTTGCCCAGGCCGAAGTAGAGGGTTGTCTTAGGGGGCCCTACCCCGAGCCTTTGATCAAAGATCTAACCTACAAGGCAGCAGGGCGATGTGAGGGCGTCGCAACCCGTTGGGAGCCGGTGACCAAGTAGATGGTTCATACGCCTTTCGGTCCTTGAAGGACCAGGGGCCCAACTCACCCTTAAAGTACAATGCCTCTCAGGGAGGGGCAAGGGGCAGTGACTTTATTTAGTGGCGAGTCACATCCGCCACGTCGCAGTGTTGTTAAACGGACATATGTGGCTTTTTATAGGGAGAACGCTTGCCAGGCGAAAACCCACCACGTCCTGGAACACTGCCGCCGAACCATTCGCTGGAACGGGAAAAACCCGAACCACCCAGCTGGCACCACGAGAGTGTTGACAGAGAGCCTATCATATTAATCAGGACAATACAGTGGACGGAAAGAAACTGTCAAACTGTGTTCAAGAGAGTAGAGTCCCACAACACGTCCACCATTGCGTACGACTCTTGCCTACGTTTGAGTGTTTCTAACCAACTTTGTTCGTTGTCTTTGTCTCTCCAGTCCGAGAGTCGAGAGCTCCCAACAACAATCGACAAGTAAGACATTGACCACCTTGTTTTTGCTCCCAGCGCCCTCTACCAAGGTACGGCGGGTTAACAGCTGAGTAAGCACGTGCCCGTCCGCACAGCGAACCTATGCAGCTGATGTTGGCATATTATATCTGATATGTGAGCCGGTCTACGAATGTCATCATTGCTAATTTGATGTCCCGTTGTACATCTGTAATGCCCCGAAGGTGGAGTAGCACACCCTTGGACCTGAACCCTTGGTCAATACAGCGGAAACCATTCAAGGCGGCGTGGTGTTGAGGACTTGGATGAGTTGTTGAACAAACACAGATTAAAGCACGACTTGTGATTGCGATGGAGTTGGGTTCGTGACCTGGCTGCCGGTGTCTCAGCTGAGGACAATGTTTTCATATGACTGACAGGACAGAGTCGTTGAAGCATATTACCGCAGGTCACTCTGGCCCAGGAAGAGGGTTAGCTTAAGGGGGGGGTCCTTCCTGTGTCTTAGGTTGTAAGGGGAGACAATAAACGTAGATCGGGAAAGTCTCTTACTGCTACTACCAACCTTTCAAGTAGTAACTAACTACTCACAGCACCCAGACATCACCAATATGGCGGCGTTTAGGTAAAGAAACATTGGCTGGACCACAAAACTCGCCATCAGACTAGAAGCCATTTGATATTCAAGTTGATCATGCGCCTCCCCAATCCTCGAATGACGTCCTCACACTGAAACCGGTGTCCATCGAGGTTGCTCCCCCGCTCCCTGCCACGTACTCACCTCTTGTAGATGTTACTGGTCATTGACGCCACATTGGT